TTGTCCTCGCCTTCAAGTTTCCATCCACCGGCCTCAGCGCCTCAGTCGCCTTGAGTCTTCGCCGACTTTTCGCGCTGCAGAGGGTTATCGGTTATCGTCGTGGATCGGGTGAGATTCTCTTCCCTCTTCCGTGGCTCGGAGGCAGAGCGTCCTCATCCCCGCCCTGTTGTCGGGCGAGAATTATAGGACTCCATTCAAGTGCACGAGCCGTCGTGCTGCGTTGATGCTGCACCGATACGCAGTCTGTCCATGGACTACATATCCCATCGCTCATACTCTGCGTCTCGTGCGCGCGTTGTGCCCTCCCGTACATCTCCATCTCGGTCTCGGGCGCTCCTGGAACAACGACACAGTCGCTGACCAATTTCCCAGCCCTCCGCAGCCCTGCCCTCAGCGACTGGTATCCCCTCCCTCCCCCCCGAACTCGCCACGTAGACAGACAAGGCTTCATCCCTCTTGAGGAATAACGAGTTACAATTTGTGCCAATGAGATGGGAAGATGCTTCTGGTGGCGATCTTCAGCAGTGCCCGCCCTTGCGCGCGAACGTCTCGGACCGTTGTATTGCCGGGATGCGTGCGCAGGAGCGGGATGAAGCCAGTCGCGTGCGGACCGAGTATACATGCGCGGCTATGCGGAACACCTAGCCACGGAGTCCCTATGCGGAACGTCTAGCCACGGAGTCCGAGAGCGAGAGCGAGCGTATATACGGAGAGAGCGAGCGCGGGACTAAACGCGGGATCGGGTACATGTGCTGTATGTGCTTGTAGATGCCTACTTCACCGTCACTGACCCCATGCCGCAGGATCCGCAGGCCCTAGGTCAGCCAGCTCTACATCCCTCCAGTACGTGCGTTTCGGCCTTCCCCATCCCCGCGCGGGGAACGAGGATCAGCGTCTCTTTCAAGTCGTACCTCGTATTCTGTATGCGCTTGACTGGCTGCGGCATGCACCGCAAATATCCCCAGGTACGCCAAACACAGACAGACGGCATCCTGCATGTCTCAGGTGTGAGTACCTGGCTTCTTCATGTAAGCGTGTTTTTGTTTTTGACCGTGTAAGCAGAAGTGGTACACATCATGATCTATCGTATATTTGGGACTTGGCTCGCTGTCACAGCATCTTCACTCATCCTATCTTCACCATGAAGTTCCCCGTTCCGCTTGATGAAACCCTTTACAAGGTTCTTGCTCGCATTTGTTGACGCTCAAATCTGCTAATCGGTCGTCAGGAGGCTCCGTCAGGTGGTCGGCTCTGAGCTTGGTCAGTGGTTGAGACTGGGGCTTGGTCAGTGGTTTTTGTGGTATGCTCGGTCAGTGGTTTTAATGCAGGCTTGGTCAGTGGTTCGTTTGGGTAGGCGGGCCTCAAAATGGCCAAGATCGACGGCAAATATGAATCGTTTCTGGCTTCAAAACTCTAAGCTCTTCTTGTACCACGTGGATATCCTACACCAAGCATCGCAGCGAGCGCCTACACTGTCAATTTGGGTTGGTATTCATAGAGCTCTTTGCTCTGAAGAATTGTCATTTCAATCCCCTGTCTAGTTGCACGCGAGCCCACTCACCGGTCCTCTTAACTTGAAAGTTCCGCACGCACCCCAGTCTTCGAAAATCTGGGGATCCGCCGCGAGACGCGCCGCCTTCTTGGACCCTGGCCAAGTCCGCCCGCGACGCTCTACCAAGGAATCACGATGCATTGCTCCCCATTGCTGCGCGCTGGCTGCATCACTGAAGGCCGCGCATAGCCGGAACGCACGGTCGGCCTGGATGGTCATCTAGTCGAAGTAGCCTTCTCGGCAGACAGTGAGAAGCTGCTCTTCAATATCTCCAAGCATCTCCAGGGGGTGCGTCTCGCCAAAGTGCGACGGGACTCCCCGCGCCCGAATTCGAAGTGCTCATGAAGGTGCTTTCTATTTTTGCCCGTTTTCTGTTGTTACTTCCAAGTGAAATTGGCGGCTTTGTCGCAGCCTGCGATTCATGAGACCTCGGCTCTGAACCAGTCTTCTCCTACCTTCTTTGTCTTTTTCTTTTCATGCAATCTGATCTTCACCAAACAATGTTACTTTCACCCACTGGCAGGACCGCAAGAGGGAGTGGTGTACGAAACACAGCTGGTTCATCTAACGGAAATGGCTGTACAGTCAGTGGCTGACAGTTCGACTCTTCGCTCGTTGGTTTCTTTTTTCTTTCGCCGGTTCAAATCGAATTTGCCGTGTATATCAAACTTGCTTTGCACTGGCGTGTTCAACTTCTCATTTTCCACAAAACCCCGGTTCCACAAAACCCCGGACTTAAAAGCATTATAAATTCGAGTAGTCTCTGGTTCCAGAATCCCCTTATACATAGTCGTAAGGTTTCAAGCAAAATTTGAGCAAAATTGCGAGATGGAATCTACACAAAATCTACAAGGAAATGAAGACTGCTCGGGCCGATGATCCGAACCGCCTTTGCGGCAGTCATCACATCTCGAAACAAGCACTCATGTCGATTATCTGCGAACGATGTGGGCATCGCAATGGCGAGGCCCCATCCCCAGCTTCCGCGGGCCTTTCGAGCTCCCTCAGCTCCTCTTCGACACCTCAGCTACGCGCCGATTTGCAGTCGGTCAATCTCGAAATCCTGCGACACCAGACATACATCTCAGAGCTCACAGCAAAGCGGGACACTCTAGAGCTCAAACTGGCTGAAACGGTGTATCCTGTTCTATCGCTTCCTCCAGAGATTACCTCTCGCATTTTCGTCCAGTGCTTGCCAGCCCATGGACGAGTGCAGCCCTCTCCGACGGCTCCTCCACTTTTGTTGGCGCAGATCTGCCGCGATTGGCGGGAAATCGCTCTGGGTACCTCTGAGCTTTGGAGTTCTGTAGATGTTGCATTCATCGAGCAGGTTACCACAGAGGCCAAAGAGGGTGCTGTCCTCACCATCGAGACATGGCTTTCACGAGCCAAAGGGCAGCCGCTCTCGCTCACAGTACGCTCCCAGCGCCACGAGATCCCTTTATCCGTCATCCTGCTCATCTGCGCTGCTGCGCCACGGATTCACACCCTCGAGCTCGACCTTTCCGAAAACGACTTCGACACAATCAAGCAAAAGCAGGTTGCATTTCCCGGTCTGCAGCGGCTCGCACTGGCTCCGCCGCTTGCCCAGGAATACCCCGCTATCATATTTATGGAACGCGCGCCCTCGCTGACAAATTTGACAGTAGATGCTATCCCTATCCCACTCCTCTCACCATCGTTAACCACCCTCGAAATTCGGCATCGAATTCCATTCTCCTCCCTTTTGGACTTGTTCCGCCAATGCCCAAAACTGTTGGATCTCACGGTGTATGCGGGGCACCCTGGCCGATTGGGAGATCAATCACCCACCACACTGCCTTTCCTCCATTCCTTGGCTATCCAAGGACTCAGCCGCCTTGAATTGCTGACCCTCCCCGCCCTCCGGCGTCTTACACTCGGCTACAACGCGTACGGCCATCTCCCCGCGTGGATTCAACGCTGGCGCTGCACCCTCGAGCACCTTGCGCTGCACTTTGACTACATAGACGAGGAATCAAGACTTCCAGAGGTTCTCAGGGCCGTGCCGTCTCTGACGTCCTTGACCATTGATGTGCAGTGCTACATGCGCTACTTCACCCAAGCGCTCGCGAAAAGTACCGCACTTGTCCCACAGCTCGCCGCCCTTCGGGTATCTGCCGAGCATTTGAACTTTGACTATCTAGCGTTCACCCAGCTCCTCCGCGAACGGCGTGCCCTCGTCCCAGGTCGCGTTCGATTGGCCTTCGCACGGCTCGATCTAAGGTCTGACGACGAGTTGGGCGACAAGTGGCGGCCTTCACCCTCTGCCATCATCGAGTTCGACAAACTGATAGCACAAGGCTTGCAAGTGCAGGTGACCTGCGTGGACGACAACGATCGGGCTTATGCCTGGCCTAAGGGAAGCGGTGAGTGCCGCAATGTATATGACCCGGCTCTGGCTGAACCTCCTGCAATCAGAGCTTTGCTGCGAATCATTTCCTTAGTTGAAGTCGCCCCAGATTATTGCAACTACTTATTTTTCTGTTGCACGATATTGGACATCGTTTCGATGTATGCTGAGATACCACAATGAGATGCATTCAACACCCTTGTCGCAAAATGGGTGTTGGCTTATACAGTAACCTTATGAGCCATACCCATTCTTTTCTTCGACAATTACCTGGGAATTCGGAGTCCTTGACGCGAGCTCTGCGACTTACAATTTTAAAATACTAACGCAATACTGCACTACCCTGCAATGACAAAGAGAAAATCGACTTCCCGATGCATGCACCGGCGGGGAATCGGACCCCGTCTCGCCATGGATATTGTGGATTTCGCCTTGTCAATCAGCGGGTGCGGGTTCCAAGCGCTGGATACACCAAAAGCGAGACATGACACACACCTTCGGGAGACGCAACACCTTCGGTTCGGACGCAACACATTCAGATCGAACGCGACACATTCGCGCGAATGTGTCGCATTCAAGTCGCCTTTCTCCGCACGCACTACACAATCGACCGGGACTCTCGTCAAGAAATACGGCGCATCATTGATGTACACGAGCTCGTGGTCCGCCGAGGTTTAACGCGTCGGACGCGTCACAGACGCGTTGTGGGTGAGGTAATCCCTCAAAGAGGGCATGTCGATTCATTCATATTCGAGGAACTGGCGCGCGCTCCCCAAAACAAAGTTGTTGTTATAAATCTGGAATGTGGTGAGGGAAGCTCAGTGCGCAGCGCTGGACACGCACATGGTCCCCAAAACCCATAAATCGCTAGGCAGATTAGGAACGCACCGGCCGGGAATCGAATCCCGTCGATCGAACCACCATTCCAATTACGCCGAGGAGCTGCCACAGTACTGGGCTGCGTTTCATCCACCACAGGTGCTTGTACCCTCCCATTTAGAGCCTTCACATACTCCTTCCAATCCGATACCAGTGTAGTTACGAAGAAAAATATATTGCATGCGGTCAACCGTCCATAGCACCGGGGGGAATCGAACCCCGCCTCACCGTTGTATGCCTCTCGAGCGACATCATATTGGTGCGTGCTCCATGCACTACCGATGCTCATACCTTCCCTCTTTGGATTATTCAAGGAAAGAGAATTCGAGTGGCGAAAATCCAACGTCGCAATTACTTACCAGGACCTCAGATGGGTTTCGTTTATTCCGCTCCAGGGGCTCCACCTACTCGTCTATCTGTGGCGGACCCCAATTTCGAGATGGTGGATGAAGTGGTCAGACGCGACGCGGTGTGTTGCATTGTTTGTTTCTCACGTGCCGTTTGATCCCAAACTTGTTCCGAAGAATCCGAAGGCCTTGCCCCCAACCATCGCCGCTCTCCGCAATTCCAAAGCATTTGGTGCGCACCCTGGAGGATCGGATAAAACTACCAAAGTGGATACCAAACCCCCTCCCTGGAGTGTCGGTCCTCTTCCAACGCCTCAACTGGGAGCAGCTGCAGGTGGCAAGTCGCGAGAGTCAAGGCGGCCAAATCGTCGTCGCCGATGGCGCTGGATCCACCCGTCCATCTCTTGCCGGCTGCCCTCGCGTTGTTTAGCGACTTGAACTTCTTGCCGCGCCGCATAGCGTCATCGTCGTGGATCGGGTGGGTGTCTTTTCGCTGGCTCGAGGTAGAGCGCGCTCCGTCCCCGTCGTGATGTCGGGCAAGGATTTCGTATCCGTGCTGCGCCTGTGCGCAGTTTCCGTGTCCACGTCGTCGTCTTCCAGGCTCGTCTCGCTGACCCTCTTTCCAGGAACCCGCGCGCAAACGGCCGGGGCGACGCCGAGTGCTGCCCTCTGAGCGCCTCTTCGTGCTGCATCGGACCCTGGTCTTCTCTCGTTCCAATCCGGGCTTAGTCGCGCGCAGTGGTTTATGCCGCTATACGGTACGTGTGGATTTTCCAAACATCGAATCTGTCCTTGGACGCACCCAATTCATTCTCGCGAGGCCATGCCTCGTCTCAAAGGCCTTATCGCGGACCGCGTCGGGCATGCCCTCTTCATGTTATTCTCGTCCTTTCTTAGCACGATCACGTACCCTTAGACTGACTAGTGCGCAGGCGCGACCTCGATGTCCTCGAGATCTGGTTTGCCCCGGCTGTATAGCCAGCGATAAACGCGTCTCGCCGGTATTCGCTCAGCGCAAAGGGGAACACTGCGGCGAGATCCTCAGCCGATGAAGACGGAGGCGGCCGGAGGTTCTCCAGAAGATTTACTCGCCTTGAAGGTGCGTCTGCCTTCCCCGTTCGTTGTCTTTGCTCTCTGCTCTCCGTTACTGTACTCCACCCTCGGCGACTCGGGGCGCACTGCGTGGTATGGGCTATGCTAGCCTTGCTCTTGGCCATGGCTGGCTGGCGCGTAGGATCCCCGTCGGTGGCTGCAGGTGCTGGATATACCTGGTGCGAGGCAGTTCAGCGCCGTCTCGCTGTTAAGCGCCCGCTCCCCGGGAATGTATCGCCCGCGCACGCTCCGTGCGCTCCGTCTCTGCGCGGTGCACTGCCCGCTGTTGGTCTGCGCATGCACGCGCTTTCATCCACACGCCGTTTACGCTGAGGCTGCGCACGCCGTTCACGCTGAGGCTGTCTACAGTAACACACATGCATTCGCGTTCCTATCTCCATCCCCATCCCATCCACCCCTTTCCTCTGCATGGTTGCCTGCCCGATATTCGTACCCGATACTAACTCACTCGAGATTATCGTATAGATCCTCGACTTGAAGCTTGAAGAACGAGACGAATCAAGGGTACATCGACACGGAGCGCCTGCTTTTGAAGGTACATGTACTCCATTCGCTCCTTCGCTCCTTCACTGCGTCCTCCCTCCCTCTTTCTGTACAGCTACACCCTCCCTTTTGATGTACAGCTACACCCAGTCCCCATCCACGGCGTTCGTCCCCACTCTCCGCGCCCGATCCCTCCGTGTGCTCTCCCTCCCTCCGCCGTCTTCGTCTTCGTTTTCTCTCTTGGACTACAGCCTCCCGCGCTTACCACGCTTGGTTTCCCCCGTGCTCGCAGCTCGCCCTCTTTCCCGTTCCCGTTCCCATCCCATTCCATTCCATTCCATTCCATTCCATTCCATGCCATCCTCCCCTCCCCATCCCGCTGTCCGTCTCCCCCGCTCTCTCCCCTCCCGTCGGACCGTGCTGACACTCACACAGGACACAGGACACCGGGCCCGCCCATTACGATGCAGTCAGCCTCTTATGGAGGTATGGACGTAGGCTATGGTCTATTATAGGTGCGTGTCGCGATCCCTTTGGATGCGCCGGTCGTGCGGCGTGCGCTGCTCGTCGGGAGCGAGGGCGGGTAGGGGAGCATGCGGGTGTGCGGGTGCGGGTGCGGGTGCGGGTGGGGAGGGAGTGAGGATGCGAGGATGTGAGGATGTGAGGATGAAGAGTTATGGGGACGCGCGTCTGAGGCACGCGGGAGCGGAACGGGGGGAGTGGTATTCCTGTCGGTTGGTCACGACACCCCGGCAGCTTGCGCATTACGGGCAGGTGTGCTGCCCCAGCTTCTTATGGCGGGCGACGCACCTGGTGCCCGCCGGCGCGAGAGCGCCGCCGGTCGAATGTGGGTGCGGTGGTGGGTAGCACAAGGAATTTTCGCGGCGCGTGGATCTCGTGAACGGCGGGGATGCGCGCGGGAAATGTGCGCGAGATGTGCTGGGGAGGCACCCGCTGCGTATGGATATGTGAAGCTGCCCCACGAGCGGGTGGGCACTGGAGGCGCAGACGGAGAGCTCGGGAAGGGCAAGGGGAGCCCGAACGAGCACGAGCGTGGTTTCCGTCGTGCGCGATGTGTGCCATGTGTGAGACGTGTGCGACGTGCGCGGATGGGGTGATTCGGCAGCGATTCGGCCGCGGATGGCGGCACAAGAGGTGCATGCGCATTTGCGAAACCGCGGCTGCGAAGGCGGGTGTGCGCTATCGTGTCCGAGGCGGTCCATGGTGGTGGGAGCGCCAGCGAGGTGCGGGGCGAGTCTAGCGCGTGCAGATATACTCCCCTCGCAGATGTGGTGCGGCGGTGGCTGCCTGTGCGTCGTCCGCACTCCCGCCCGGTCCGCCATGCGCACGGCGCTGCATTTGCTGTGGGATGCCGCGTATGCGAGCGTTGAGGGGGAACATCGCGCTGGCGCGCATGTGTTTGCCACACATGTTGCCTGTACCCTCTGGCACTACGTCCAATCCCAGCCCGCACTGTCTTCGGCCGCGCATCCTCCACCGCCTCCTGACCTTCATGTACCGCACGCAGCGGGTCGCACCCTGTGCGTGCGGAGTCCGGACGTAGCGGGGCGTTGGGGGACGCTGCCACTGCCCGCCGATGCCTCTGCCTCATCAATCCGCCCCGCGCACTTTACCCCAGCCAGAGTGCCCGGCCTCATACGCGCCCCGCCGAGCACGTCTGCGGCTTCCTTGCAGGCTCTACACGCTGGTCACTGCCATCCGCAAGCCGGGCCCCCTGCAGCGCCTCGCTTCCTTGTGTTGGTGCCCGAGGTGCCGCCGCGCCGCAAAAAACCGTTGTCGCTAGTACCCTGGCAATGCAGTTGCTGCACGCACGCTGCTGGCCGACGAGCTGTGCATCCTTCCCACCTCCTACGTACTCCCGACGAGATACCCGACACTTCCGTACGGACTGCTCGGTTAATGCAAACGCTGCGGGTAGATACACCGTTACTCTTTACACAAGCGCGCCGCTTTCCTCCCCTCTCCAAATCTCGTTCTTCTACTTCTCCACCCTCTGCCCACCTCTGCACTCTTCCACTCTCTTTCTTGTGTGCAGTACGCACATCGTAATCGATTCCATATTCGCACCGATGCGGAGCGCAAATAGTAATATCCATATCTGAGGGAGAAAGAGGAAGGAAGGACCAGGTATTCATAACTTAGGTGGAAGAGATTCCTGGGAGGACAGGACGGCGCTGATCCGCAGGGCCTCTTTGACATTTGTCCGTCCTACTCAAATCCCGCTTGCTTCCCACGTTCTTTGTTCTCGGCAAACTCCTGTAATGTGACCACGTACGCGTGCCCACTGCCACTGACAGTGATGGCAATGTGCTGTATGTACACGTGCTGTAGAGACAAGACCACTGCTTCACCTTAACCACCACCGTCCGAGAACTTGAAGCCAAACAGCTGCTCCCTCCACTCCTCTATTAGAAAGTCTGGTCAACGACTAGGCTGAGCCTAGCTACCGGGAATCGGGATGGATGGGCTGTCGATTGCCACCGCTGTTGTCACATTTGGCGAACTGGCCAAGGCAATCAAGGAATCGATTGACAAGGTGCGATTACATTGTCATATTTCACGGATATTTTCTAAGGGTGGATGGAGGTTGGCGAGAACAAGAAGAATCTGGTAGATCTCCAGAGGCAGGTCGAGGATACCGTCCAGGAAATCGGACGGCTGGCGCAGGGACACGGAAGTAACGTGCCAACTGGGGAGTTGTTGAGAGCACTTAACAATCTCACGGGGTGCGTTCTCGTCTCACTGACAGATTGTACGTCGGTGTATCTGAAGGTGTAACCTCGACGTACAGGCAGCTGAACACTGTCAAGGCAAATTGCCAAACGCGCGCTCGGACCCAGACCACGGGGCTTCCGAGCTTTGTCAAATCATGGTTCAAGCGGGAAAAAATCGAAGGAGAAATCAAGAAACTAAAGGAAAATAGGAACGACTGCTGCGCCCAGTTCCAGGTGAGAGGACACACGATGCCGGGATAGTTCAGGCGCTCACATAAAGTCAGCTATTATCCCTCACACGAGTCGAAGGCTACGCTGCTCGATCCGAGGGGCACGCCGCTCGAATGGAAGGGTATGCCGTTAGAACTGAAACAACCACTGCACAAACAGGGGATCACATCATTCGCATTAAAGCTGCAACCAGTACAACAGAAGGGCACACTGCTCGAATCGAAACAAACACTGCCCGACTCATAACCTTGGCGTAAGTTGAACATATTACTCCACACTTTCAGAACTGATTTGAGTCCAGCCGCAAGGAAGAGCTACAAAAATGGTTTCAAGCCATTGATATGAGGGAGAAACAGCGCGCAACACACGCCCTTCG